TGCATTACTAGCAAAATAAACAAAATAATATGAACTCATTTAATACACTATATAAAAGACATAAATTCAACGACAATTTATATACGAACATTAGTCAATGTGGGTTGATTGTTGGTATATCTACTCAAACCATTGAAATTTTATGATTTATAGTTAGAAACGACATATATAGATTTTGGTGAATGTGTTCTATTATTTCGGATGGCAGTACTTATATGTGTTAAATGGTCCTTGCCCCGACGGGCTGACCCGTTTAGCCCGAAAAAAACAGGGTTATGTCCTTTTATTAGTAGCCCGTTTAAATCATGGTTTTTTAGGCTCGGACCGTTTAGCCCGAAGCCCGCTAGGGCTAGCTCGAAACCCGCCAGGGCTGGTCCGTTTTAACTAGGGTTAGACAGTATAAATGTTTGCATCAAGTAAGTAATATGCTCTTAAATTTCTTGTATATTACTATTTTGGTATTCCACTTCACATGTAAGTATGACTTGTAATGAATTATTATGATTTTGAAAGATAATTATTAACAATATTATTATTGTACTTCATACCAAAATATTTAAGTTAATCAGAACGACTAATAGGAAACACATGAAACATAGTGATAGACGGTAAATACTAAATAGTTAAAAATAATTTTTAACTAGCCGTTGTTATTTTTTAATATAATTTTTACTCTTTTTATTTTTCATTTTTTTATATATTATTATTAATATTATTATTATTAATATTATAACCCGCATAGCCCATGTAGCCCGAACCCCGTTAGGGTTAGATTAGGTCTATTTTTTTGTAGCCTGTTTAAATCTGGGCTTTTTACGCCCGAACTGTTTAACCCGAAGTCCGCTAGAGCTAGCCGAAACCGCTAGGGCTAATCCATTTAACATCTCTAGCAGCAGTAGTCGAACTTTTGCACCACAATTTCAGTTTGAGTTATTGTTATTGGCCGATAATGTAGCTTCAATAAATATTACTTTACCTCATTATCATTGGATTCTTACCTTTGGATTATAAAGTGTTTTACCATAAAAAAATCAGATTTAGCAATAATGTATTCGGATTTTCCCTTTTTAATTTGGAAATTAAATAAGCAACTGACAAAAAATTTACTGAATTTTCAAATATTACATGAATGAAATAAATGACTGAGGAAATATATTTAGTGACCTGAGTCAATAGTCTTGAAAATGAAAAACTCTACTATAGGAGCTCCATGTAATATTAGTACACAGTTTTGCTATGGAGTCATCGGATGGCTCAACTTATGGAGTCATTCTCACTTATTCACCAATACTGTATTGACACGTGTTCTCCAATAAATACAATTTGGACAGGTGTTCATATATTAAGTGGTGGATGGCTCCATAAGAAAACCATCCGATTGCTCCACATAATTTTTGTATTAGTAAAATCCTTTTCTTGTGTTACATAATTACATTGTCTTAATGAACATTGCAGTATCCCAATCATTTTGTCTATAGTAAAATTTATTTATCAAAATATTTTTACATTCTTATTAGTCATCATTTTATTGGGTAATGTAAACTCTTTTATAATATATATATATTTATCTAAAAATGTGAGATATCTGCACATTTGGGCAGCTCTATTATGAGATGGAATATTACAATTTACAACTCACCACAAGAATGACCAGACTTAATATAATTCAACCAGATAGCTCATCTACTCAACATTGTCAAGATTTTGTGATATTTTTTAACTAAATATTTATCATGTACAAACAATTTGCGTATCAATAGTAAAGAGACAGATTGTGGAATATGTGATAAGTATCAAGATTTCGAGACCTTTCAACCACACATCTATCGTGTATAACATGCACATTTTCAGCTATATCAGTTGGTAGACATATTAACATTTGCACGACACACCTAGGAACACGAATATTCCATAAAATTAATTATCACCATTTTAAAGTAAAGACTTTAGTAAACACTCAACTATCATCAAGCTAGTAATATGTTCACCATTTGAAATTGTTATAATATTTTATTTATTTTTTTAATATCACAACAAGCAATAAACATTTGTTTACAATTCTCTTTATTTGAGGATACTTTTATGCATCATTTCATTTCAATTTTCCCTCTTCTTTTTAGATTTTTTTTTGGGTAGTGAAGTTAATGTGGAGATGCCACTGACAGATTTGTGTGCTAGCAACTAGCATGTGTTGGTGGACACTGTGTTGCCATTTTATTGAAAGAATGAGAAATTTAATTGTACCCTTTGATTTCAAACTCTCTCTCTCTTATATATATATATAGAGGTGCGCTCAAATGAGAATGGACTATAATGAAAGAAATAAGAATAATTATAGATATGTGAAAATGATTATAAGTTTAAAGCCTTTGAACGCCGGTCTCCAATTTCTGGTTCGAGGGGTCGTCGACTTGGGGGAGGGATTGGGTATGTGGTTTCAGGTCTAGTTAGGCGTAGTAATACTGCAATTTATGACTCGAAGCCTTGGACCGAATCTCTGTTCGTTTTTTCTCATTATTTATTTATTTATTTTTTATAAAAAATGGTATACGCCCTAAATATTAAGAAATGAAAAAAAAAAGAAAAAGAATATATTAGTCTTAGATAATAACACAATTTACATTAACAAAGTCCCCAGTTCAATTTTGTGCTACAATAAGTCTGAAAATTTCTGGAAGTATAAGAGAAATATCGCACTGGCTTCTCTGCTCAGATGAATCATCTTTATACCCACCATGAAATCGGACCTAAACCATCCGCATCGATCGTACCCTTCAACAAATTACAAAAAGGGAACCGAGTTAACTCACTTTGAATGACTAGGCAAAGATGATTTGTGAAAATAGTTACATGAAACACCAGTAACTATAAATTTCTTCTGAATCACACGATTCACACGAGACAACAATCTCGCGTAATATCAGTTCCATTCGGAACATAATGTAAGGACGAGGCAGAAAACTAATACAAAAAACCGAGCAGTCAATTGCATAAAGGAAAAATGGTAATTATAAAATCTTACAGTGACTACCATAAGGGCAACTGGCTTCACAACTTTCTGCTCTGTATCATTTTCGCTCGCATCTCCATGATCTAAAGGTATAGGCGGATAACTCACACTGAGAACTTTAAATCTAATCTGCAGTCGAGCAAACACATCACATAATAATATTAAAAAAAAAAATGAACAATTTTTCAAATCCATTTAATAAAATTACGAAGGAGGAACAACAACCTCATCTTCGCCGTCTATCGGATAGTTTTCTCCCTCGTATTCCCAAACCCATTTAACACCACCCCTGAGAGAGGCCGCAGAAAAGAATTTACGAGAAGTCACATATTTACCCATTTAACAAAGAAGAAAATGTTTAATTCATGGAAATTTGATGATAACATAGACGCTCACTTAATGGTTGGGTCGGGTTCAGAGTGATTGGGACTGTTCAGGCAAGGGACAGGTACATAGACGTCCTCAAAAAATCCAAGTGACACTGCCAAAGATAAGTTAATACTTTTGGCAACTAAGTATAGGTTTGCAACAACTACTTAAAAAAACTATGCAATAGCTGCTATCTAAACTAATTGCTAACTATATTAAACAATCTGATTAATTTAACATGAGAATAATAATAACTTGCATGACAATATCACAGTAATAACTATAATAAATTGAGGACTTGAAACAAATTTTCTTTTCTCGTTGATCGATACAAGCAATTAAATCTTGATTCTGGCAGAAGATTTTTCATATATGCAAAAACTTGAACCATCTCTCGATTTAATAGTAATGATTAAAAAGGGAAAAATATGCCATAATCACAAAGATTATTATAAAAAGGAATAGCCAAACTGAGATGGTTGTCCAGAAGAAATATAATATAACGAATGAATATCAGATGATGAGATGAAACGAAATTGGCAGAACAAAACAGAAAATATTGAAACATCTTTTTAGTATTTTATAAAAACGGGGTCATTCACTAATCAATGTATAAACGCCAATGCCGCAATTCAAAATAGCAAATTCAAGAATCAAATTCTCCTTCGAACCAATTCGAAATAGCAAGTTCGATCTTCGGAAAAGAAAACTGAATCAGATATAAAATTAGGACATTAACACCCTCAATCAGACAACACAATGCCAATCCGTTAAGAAACACAAAAAAGCTTGGAGAAAAATGATCACATTCATACTGCAAAAGGAAATCGAATAAACCGAAAGGAAACTGGAACACAAGCAAGCAGAAGTTCCATACATCGTAAACCGTCCTTTGTCGATTCCATAAGTCGAGCCGATATAACCTCTCCCACAAACGGCCGGAACATTACCAGCCTGAATACCACCTGAAATCAGACGAAACAAATTCACATTCTCACAAGCTTCAATGTTTCAGACACCATTACCGAGGCTGCCATAAGCACGGCAAGCAAATTGAAGGCAAGAACAAATTGAGCAATGGACGATAATTTTGAACAGCGTACCGTGTAAGTGGAGGCGCCATCGCCGGGATACACAAAACCACCATTTATGGATTGAATATCGTACAGGCTGACGCACAACCCTAGATCTTGAATAACCTGAGAAAAAAGTTGATTATCATTGAAGGGAAATCAAATTGTACGAAAACGAGGATTTGGGTAACAAAACCTTGTCTAAGAAGAGAGACTCGAGCTCTCCACTAATGGCCTTGTCGATGGATAGGCTGAGGAGATGTGGGGGAAACCTCAGAGTGTGCTCAAATTTGCTCAGGAAAAACATCTCTTTTCAACCTTTTTTCAGACACAGGTAGATGAATTATTGTCAGGGTAAAGGAATGTGTTTTTCTAACACGGCGAGGAGGACAATGAGGTGCCGGAGAAAAGGTGGCGGCTGTGGGCAAAGTAAACCACGATGATTTCATAGCAAAGTTAAGGTAAAAGATTCAG